GATGGCGGAAGCCTCGGGTCCGACTCTTCAAGAACATCAAGTAGATTTCTTTCTGCGTGGCATGCGTGGCAGCATGCATGATTGGCTCTGCTTTCATTGTATCGCGGCGAGGGCGCCGCAACCCCAGCATTATTAATTACCAGCGTTGGAGCCCTGTCGCGTCTCGCAACCGGCACCCCCCACCGGTTGCTACCACGGCGCGTGTACGAGCGAACGACAGAATCCGAGCGAACACCCAACACGATCTTCTATCATAGTTGTCTGGAAACACGAACACACCCCCATTGACCCTTCTTCATCGCAGTGAGTTGAGGCAGGAGCTGGGGGGAAAGGAGAGGGAATAAAAGGTGGCAGCAGAGCAGGGCTGGCAGTTGCGTAAGGAGGGCTACGACACACATCAACACCAACAAGAACAAGAACAAGAACAAGAACAAGGCCGAAGGCCGAAGGCAGAGACCAAGGCAGACCCGAGGAGAAAGAGAGGGGGGGGGAGGAGGAGGAGGAGGAGAGAGGGAGAGAGAGAGAGAGATTCAAGATACCCAGCTCAATCCGGGCTCATTCTGACACACGACGTCTTCCTTTTGACACATTTATTTATTCCCCCTTCATGTCTCTTACCTTACCTTATTCCTATCTGCTGCCATTGCTTCACCATGTTTCCTTGCTCTACTTGTCGTTTTGGGACCATCAGGCCATCTCTGGTCGGGATGGCCGTGGGTTGGTCTCATTTGTGTCTTATCATGTATGTCCGCCGCATGTTACTGAAAGCGAGCGTTGGTGCTCTCTGGTCTTGTGTGTGTTCTGTCCATACTATATGTACATGGTCCATTGGGCTACCGTATCCGGGCTGTATGGCTGTGTTGCTTGCTTCTGGCAGTCGATAATATCATCCAAGAACTGTCATGTCAAAAGAAATGCCATGTCAAAAGAAATGCCATGTCAAAAGAAATGCCATGTCAAAACCGAAAAACAAAAAAATTACCATGACCAGCTGAATGTTGGGTCGCCATCTTGTATCTCTCTGTCTCGTATCGCTGCACCGTTGCCTTGGTACGGGCTCCACGGTTGTAGTGGAGTTCTGTCCGCCCCCCCTCCCCCCGGCTCAGGGGGGAGAAATACAGGGGTCACATGGGATGCGTCGTGCTTCAGCCTTACATCAGCAGCTACGTTGTGCTTGGTCACCCAATCGGCACGAGGATGGAACTCTGGGGTGCAGTGTGGCTGGCGAACGAAGCGAAGCCTCTTTCTTTGTTGCACAGCCGCACCACTGCATCTCGCACTGCAGCTTTGTCTGAGCATGCCAGGTGTGACAGGCTTGCCAGCTGCGAGGGGCTGCCCGTTCGACCGACAGCCGACCGACAGCCAACCGAACAACCGACCTAAACCGACGTCATCCTTGCCGTAGCTCTCTCACGACTTTGTCTGCTCCCAAGCTTCGAAAGCTCGCGTCGTGTGCGTAGCCATCGAACAAACGTCCTTCCCACCAGACATTGACGAAGAGAACACACAATGGCCACGCTCCGAGCTACGAGGCTACGGCCCTTGTCGTCAGCGTTGCGACCGGCCATTTCATCACAGACACCATGCACAGCCAACCCCTCTCGAACAGCAGTCAGGCACAAGTCGGGACCCTACGGCTACACCCAGGCCAAGGCCCTCGTCTTCTCCAAAGAGGGCGACCCCTCTGACGTTCTCTCGTACGCTTTTCCTGCTGGCTTGCCTGCCCCCGCCCTCCCACGAGACGGCGCGCGCTGACACTTACACTTGACCAAGCCTCCACACACACTCCATCTCGCCGTCGCTGCCTGCGGGCTCTGTCCTCCTGCGTGCCCTGGCGGCGCCCATCAACCCGGCCGACATCAACACGATCCAGGGCACGTACGGCGCCAAGCCGCCCTTCACAACCCTCATCGGCACGGCCGAGCCGTCGGCCGTCCCCGGCAACGAGGGCGTCTTCGAGGTCGCGGCGTGCGGGTCGCCGAACATGGACCTGAAGCGCGGCGACTGGGTCCTGCCCTTTTCGCCCTCGTTCGGCACGTGGCAGACGCACACCATCGCCGACGCCGCCGCCGTGCACAAGATTGACAAGACGGGCCTGACGCCCGTGCAGGCCGCCACGGTGCTCGTCAACCCCAGCACGGCCTACCGCATCCTGCGGTCGTACGGCCCCGGCGAGGGCGCGCGGCCCGACGGCCTCGGCGCCATGAAGCCCCTGGCCCCCGGCAGCGGCGCCTGGTTCATCCAGAACGGCGCACTCTTCGCTTTACCGCTGCTCCGTCTCAGGGTGAACTCACTGCTTGTGATCGTCCAGGCTTGCCCTGGGTGCCTGAAAGCTTGACATCTATTCGCCAACTTATCCCGTCTCTGACCTGGCTTGCCTAACGACCACATGTCCTGGGGCCCCGCATCTGCGTTTCGGATCTAATCGGAACAGCACTACAGGGGAGAATGTAATACCACCAGCAAGCGGGGAAGATATGGCAGTTAGCATGGTATCGAGAAAGGCTATCCGTCACCAAATGTGATGAGATATTAGAAAATACTATTGCCGTTAGACTCCTAACTTTGATGATCATGGCATCTAAGGTTTAGTCTGATCAAAAAAAAACTACCTCTAAGTATTGGGCAGGAGTGGAGCGAGAATTGAATCCAAA